TATTATAAGTAGTATTTTAAAACTTTGATCTCTGATTGTTTGTTGAGATAAATTAATCTTTTTGTATGTTGATCTTGTATCCTGCAAACTTGATAAACTCATTTATTAGTTCCCGTAGCATTTTTGTACATTCTATCAGGTTTTCTACATAATCATGTTATCTGCAAATAAAGATAGATTTACTTCTTCCTTTCCACTCTGAATATCTCTTTTCTTTCTTTGGCCCTATGGCACTGGCTAGAACCTTCAGTGCAATGTCAAATAGAAGTAATGAGAGCAGACAGCCTTGCCTTTGTCCTGATCCTGGAGAGAAGGTACTTTGTCCTTCACCATTAAATGTGATGTTAGGTATTTTGTAGAAGTCATTTATCAAGTTGAGGAAGTCTCCTTCCATTCCTAGTCTACTGAGGGCTGTTCCTTTCTTTAATCAGGAATGGATATTAGATTCTTTCATTCTTTTCCTGCATCTATTGCAAGGACTATGTGATTTTTCCCTTCTTTTCTTTTCTTAATTTGTTTATTTATTTTTGTCTGCATTGGGTCTTCTTTGCTGCACGCAGGCTTTCTCTAGTTGTGGCGAGCAGGGACTATACTGTTCATTGCAGTATGCAGGCTTCTCATTGCGGTGGCTTCTCTTGTTACAGAGCATGGGCTGTAGGTGCACAGGCTTCACTAGTTGTGGCACATGGGCTCAGTAGTTGTGGGTCACGGGCTCTAGAGCACAGGCTCAGTTGTTGTGGTGCACGGGCTTAGTTACTCTATGGCATGTGGGATGTTCCCAGACCAGTGTTCAAACCCATGTCCCCTGCACCGGCAGGTGGATTCTTAACCACTGCCCCACAAGAGATGTCCTGATTTTTCTTTTTTAGTGTACTAAGTTGGGTAAGTTGATTTTCAAATATTAAGGCAACCTTTCATTCTTGAGATAAACCCCACTTGGTCATGATGTATCATCTTTTTATATATTATTGGATTTGATATGCTAAAATTTTGTTAAGAATTTTTGCCTCTGAGTTCATGAGAGATATTGGTCTATAGTTTTCTTGTAATGTCATTGTCTAAACTTGGTATAGTGAAAGTTGGCCTTATAAATAAGTTGGGAAGTATTCCGTTCTCTTCAACTTTCTGGTAGAGTTTGTGTAGAATTGGCATTATTTTATTCCTTAAATGCTCGGTAGAATTTATCAGTTAAGCCACTTTGACTTGAAGCTTTCTTTGTTGGAAGGTTTTAAACTGCACATCCAATTTCTTTAATATCTTTATTCTTGAATAAACTTCAGTAGTGCATGTCTTTCAAGGAATTTGTCCATTTCATCTTGAATTTATTGGTATAAAGTATTCTATAATATTCTTATTATCCTTTTAATATCTATAGTACTTTGCTATTTTGCAGTTTATTTATTTCTACTTTGATCTTTATTGTGTTCTTTCTTCTCTTACTCTGTGACTAATTTGCTCTTGTATTTCCAGTTTAAGGTGGAAGTTGAGGAAGCTGAGTACAGCGTTAGCAATATCCCACATGTTGACATATTATGTTTTCAGTTTCAGTGAGTTCAAAATAGTTTTTGATTTCCCTTTTGATTTCTTCTTTGACCACAAAGTTACTCAGAAGTGTGTTGTTTAGTTTCCAAATATTTGGAGCTTTTTAGCATTTTAAATTTCTAATTTAATTCCATTGTGGTCAGAGACATATATTGATTGCCTAAAATCCTTTAAAAATTTTTTTAAAGTATTTTTAAAATTTATTTCTTTGCTGCATTGGGTCTTTATTGCTTTGCCTGTGCTTTCTCTAGTTGTGGCGAGCAGGGGCTACCCTTCGTTGTGGTGCACCGGCTTCTCATTGGATGGCTTCTCTTGTTGCAGAGCACAGTCTCTAGGTGCATGGGCTTCAGTAGTTGTGGCACACAGGCTCTAGAGTGCAGGCTCAGTAGTTGTGGCGTATGGGCTTAGTTGTTCTGCGGCATGTGGGATCTTCCCTGACCAGGGATCGAACCCGTGTCCCCTGCATTGGCAGGCAGATTCTTAACCACTGAACCGCCAGGGAAGTCCCAATTCCAGTATTTTTAATCTTTTGTGTAGATCCATATTGCAATCTGGTGACATTTTCCTTCTGCTTAAAAATACTTCTTTTAACATTTTTATAGGGAAAGTCTACTTAGGAATGAATTCTTTCAGCTTTTGTATGTCTGAGGTAGTCTTTATTTTGCTTTTGTTTTGACTGACGTGGGTATAGAATTCTAGCTTGATAGAATTCAAGTCACTACTTTAAAGATGTTCTTCCACTGAGTTCTCGTTTATATTGTTTCCAACAAGAATTCTGCTGTCATTGTTATCTTTGTTCCTCTGTATGTAGTGTATAGGTTTCTCCTCTGGCTGCTTTTAAATTTTTCTCTTTATTGCTGGTTTTGAGCAATTTGATTACTTTTTGTGCCTTGGTGTAGTTTTGTCCATGTTTCTTATGCTTAAAGTTCATTGATATTCTTGACTTTGTGGGTATATAGTGTTTACCAGTGTGGAAAAATTTTGGGTATTATTTCTTCAATTTTTTGTATTTCTCCTCTCCTTCATGGACTCTAAGTACACATGTACTAGACCACTTGCAGTTGTTGCAGAATTCGCTGATGCTCTATTCATTTTTGTTTTTGTTTTGTTTTGTTACACGTTTTGTTTCATTTTGGGTAGTTTCTATTACTGTGCCTTAATGTTCACTGACCCTTTCTTCTGCAGTGTCTAATCTGCCATTAACCTCATTCAATGTCTTTTTCATTTAGACATTGTTTTTAATCCCTAGAAGCTCAATTTGGGTCTGTTTTACATTGTCCATGCCTCTACTTAACATTTTCAGTGTTTAGTCTGGGTTTCTTAACAACTGAAATACAGTTCTAATAACTTTTCTTCATGTATAATAACTTTTTTTTTTTTTTTTTTGTGGTACGCGGGCCTCTCACTGTTGTGGCCTTTCTCGTGGTGGACCACAGACTCTGGATGCTCAGGCTCAGGAGAGCCCCATGTATAATACCTTTTTAAATGTTCTTTTTTACCAATTCTAACAGCTGTATAGATTATGGGTTAGTTTTGATTGATTGCCTTTTCTCCTCAGTATGGGTCATATTTTCCTACTTCTTTGCATGCTTGGCAATTTTTCATATGATAACAGATGTTGTGAGTTTAGTTTATTGTGTGCTATATATATTTATATTCCTGTAAAATGCTTGGGCTTTGTTTTGTGTGAAATTCAGTTACTCAAAACAATTTTATTCTTTTACGTCTAGCTGTTAAGATTCGTTGGGTAGGAGTCCACATAGCCTTTAGTCTGGAGCTCATTATTTGCAACTACTGAGACAAGTCCTTTCTGAGTATCATGAGGTTTTTCCAGTCTGACTTGTAGGAACAGGTACTATTCCTACAACCCTGTGTGATAACCAGTTATTCTTATTATTAATCCTTTCATGTGGTTCTTTCCTGGCATCAAGTAATTCCTCACACAAATGTACTGACCAATACTGTGTTGAATTCTCAAGAGATCCCTCTGCTTATCTCCAGAGTTCTTTGTCTGTGCACTTCTTTTCTCTCTGATACTCTGCTTTGTGAACTCTAGTTACCTTGGTTTTCCCAGACTCTCAGCTCCATTTCCTCAGTCAGGGAGTCCACCAGTCTCGGCCTGGACTTCTCTTCCCTGTACCACGACCTGGAAACTCTCTCAGAGAAGTAAGTTAGGGCTATTATAGGTATCACTTCATTTATTTTCCATTTCCTGGGGATCACTGAACTGTATTGCCTGAGGTGCAGTTTCTTGAAAACTGTTGTTTCATATGTTCTGCCTGATGCTTTCATTGTTTCAGGTGGGAGGTTAAATTGCTCCTTGTTACTTCATCTTGGCCAGTAGCCAATAATATTCTTTAAGTCTGTTTTATTTTGATACAGCGTCCAATTAAAGATTAGTCATTGCATGTCATATCTTTGTTTCCTTTAATCTAGAATATTTCCCTGCTATTTTTTTTTTGGTCTTTTATGACATTGGCATTTTTAAAGAGTCTAAGCCAGTTGTCTTGTAAATTGCCCCACAATCTGGATTTGTCTGTTTCCTCATTAGATTCAAAGTAAACATGTTGGGGAAGAATACTATATAGGTGATGTATTCTTCATACTTCATCACTTCAGGTGGCCCAGGGCTAAGTTCGATCCCTTGATTAAGGTGGTATCTTCCATATCTCTCCATTGTGAAGTTATTTTTCCCCTTGGTAATTGATAAATAATATGAGGTGCCATACTTTGGGATCAGTGGAGATCCTACTTTCAAACAACTCTTCACCCAACTGTGCATCAATGATATTCCTTGTCTGAATTGATTATTACATTGATAGTTGCAAAATGACACTTTCCTAATCTATCATTCCTTTTGCATTTATTAGCTGACATGATTCTATAAAGAAGAGCTCCCCACTTTTCATTTTGAGGATCATTATGAACTCATGTGCTTTTTTTTAAATTAACTGTGTTATACCTTATTATAATGATCATGTTATTCTTTGGAATGTTCCATTTGTCTAGATTTGGCCAGTGTGATCTCTGTTATTGTTTAACCACACGATGCTTTTTTATTACTAGAATAACTTCTAATATATTACTACTGACAAATAGGAACTGAGAAAGGGACTCCAGAAGGTGTGGCCTTATTCAGACTCTTCTTAGAAATAATGCCTTCTTCCTGTGTACTCTCAACCCAAAGTGAGGCTTTGGGGTTGGAAGGAGATATTTCTGAATCAAATTACAGATCAATGTCACCCAATTCTAATCCCTATTCCCTTTTTTCTAGGAATACCATACTTACTGCCATCCTAATCCTTCTGTTGGGCACCTCTCTCCTCCTATATATTTATTTACAACAGTCAAGAGCAGCAATTAGCCAACCGGCACCTATCCTGTTCTCCAGTCCATATGCCCCAAGAACTCCTTTTTGCACTGGTCTGTGGGGGCCTTGGACTACCCCTTCTACCTACTCAAGTAACTCTTTTATCACAAAATTAATTACCAGTGTTTCCATTTATAGGATCTTACCTAGCCGTATGGCCTGCTGCCTCTGCCAATTTAAAAATACGATTGAGGTTGCCTGGAAGACAGTCAAGCTGCATTGTGACAGTGAATGCCTGACGGACATGACACGTTGTGGTGAGTCTCAATTGTGGGATAATAAATTTTTAATTTAATTTTTTAAAAATCAGGGATGATAAATTTTAAAATTAATGATGTAATTGCATTATTTTAATTAATTCATTCAGAGTTCCAGATCCCTAAGTTTCTAAGAACTACCCCCTTGCTAAAAATCAGATGCTTGGTTACATTATTAAGCTAATAATAGCTCAGGTACATTGTTAGCTTAATAATGTAACTGATCCGCATACATAAAGGAATAAGAGAAAGGAATGGAAGGGGGAAGGGAATTAACATTAATGACCACATATCCTATGCTGTGCTCTCTGCAAATGAGAACTTATTCATATAGCGCATCACATTTTGTAAACTGATTTTATATACATTAGGTCTCAGGTACTCTTTGTCTCATAGGATAGGAGAGGTGTAAATATATTTTTGTTTATTTTGTGTGTTTCTGCAATTTTATAAAGAGTACAGGTGATGCTGTTTTATGTCCTATTTGGAGCCTGAGGTTTTCTGGTTCCATAACCAGAAGCTGCTACCTAGCCCTTCTAATGGATGGGAGAGCTAGTTTATTCTTAGACGGTCTAGCTCTGAGCTTGCTCTGAATCTCAAGCTTTTCTATCCACAGGACACTCAGGGGGTTTCAACTATTTTTCTATATATTAGATTTATTGGCACTAACTTGATGTCTTCCAAAATGTGCTTTCATGCCCAGGTAGCTTGAATACAAGTCTCTTTCAGTGATCTAGAGCACATCATACAAATAATACTTTGCACCTTATGTAAAGACAATATTGCTGATTTTTCAACACGGTTTTCTTTTTTTCTTTCTGGCCGTGCCACACAGCTTATGGGATCTTAGTTTCCCAACCAGGGATTGAACCCGGGCCACAGCAGGGAAAGTGCCGGGTCCTAACCACCAGACCACCAGGGAACTCCCCCAGACAACTTTTTTACTAATTATATTACTCCCTTCTCCCCAACATGTGGGCAGAAAAGGCATTTTTAATCTCCTTTTACAGGTGAGAAAAAACAAGATCAGAGGTGTTAAGTGCTGTGACTCTAGTGCCCCGATCTCCTGTCCCCAGTTTGGGGCTCTCTGCAAGCCCGTGCTCCTCCTTTCTCAGGACCCTCCCGTCCTCCTTTGACCCTCACCAAAACTACTTTTAATCCTTTTGGAAGAGAAGCCCAGCTACACAATGGTACACATTACCTTCACACAGTCAGAAGCTTTGGATGGTTCCCCAAGTAAAGCTGGAAATATTCGAAGTAAAATGAAATGGAAGCCAAGTAGCCATCTGACAGGAGTTGCCTGTTCCCTTCTGCAGTTGAAGACCTCAAGTATTATTCCATTGATTTGTTGAACATTCCACATTGGCATATAATCTGGCAAATCTCTTAATTTATACCCCAGATCCCTGCCCAAATTTTAGCAGAGAGCCAGGGCGGACATAGTGTTTTTTTCTGTATAGATCCTTGTGTTGTGGGCGCTGGGATATATGGAAGCAGGGACTGAGCAAAGGACTCGGTGGGCGGGTGGAGAAGGACATGTCCAGATGACGACCTGTTAGCGGCGGTTGTTGTCGTGGTCGTCTGTGGTAGCAGCAAGAACACAAGCACACTGAAGAGGTGGAGAGAGGAAGCCTCACACTCCTCTGCCTCTGAGGCAGGACAGGATGGGGTATATGAATGTGAGGAGTCACAGTAGATCTGCAGAGAGTCCAGCTGAGTAGGGGAATATTTGTCTTCCAGCCTTGGCTTTTCTTGAGTACTGGCCCCTGGGAACCAGTGGAGTAATGCTGAATATAGTTACTGTATTTCACGCTACAGAGTTTTCTGAGTAGATAGCCACTATTTCAAGAGTTATCTTTTTCACATTTTGTTGTTGCCAGTCATAGGCTTAAGTGTGGGTTTCTTTTTCTCCTAAGTGGCACTCGAACTTTGACTGATTCCTAATTTATTTGGCTGTGGACTGACAAAAAGCTGGCCATCAGTGTTCAATGATCAAAAACTGTCCCTTCTTTTTTGACAGATGAAGAAACATCTATAGGGAATGCAGAAGGCTCGTTGATGAAGGTGTTACAAGCCCGGAAAAAGAACAACAGCAGCGAACTGACTATTGAGTCAGAGAGGGCGTCGTCAGATAAAAGTGCTGTCAGCTTGTCAGGCTTCATGAAGGAGCAGCTGGACTTTAATAATAAAAGTGATATTATCAGTGCACTAAATTACATACTGCCTTATACCTCAGAGGGAAATCGAGGAGATGTGGAATCAACATTATTACCATTCATTCAACTTCTGTTTTCGAATACAAAAGATGGAGATATGCCGCAGGGCCTTTTGAAAAACAGTACAAGGAGCCCTTCTGTTAAACCTGTACCCAACAATTCAAGTAATAAAAACAAATTGAGGAAACTCCATTTTGTGGAAAATCTGTTAGCTGCAGAAACTCAAGAAAACATTGATGATGTTAAAACGGAAGAAAAACCTGCCACGCGTACACCTTCCAGCCTTTTAAGTACCATGTTTAAACTCTACATCTTTCAAAAGAAATTGCAAACTGCCCAACCACAGAAAGAAAAATCCCCATCCGAAGTTAAAAGCAGATCAAAAGACTTATCCAACACTATTCATGTTTTAGAAAATGCGAAGAATAGCATTCGAAATATTAAGGACTTCGAACTAATCTCACATTCTGGAAAAAAATACATCTTCCATAAAATTAGGTCTCATCGGGTCCACAGAAAACCCAGAGGCAGAAGGAGTCGAAAGTTCAGAAAGAAAAGTTCACTCAATACAATGATGCTTGCAAGTCCTCCGTTCTCTGTACTGAGGAGTCTCATAAATTCCCCTCCACGAGAGGCTGTTTCATCTCCAGGAGAAGTGACTTCTCAGGAAAAGCCTTTTGCAGAATTATTTTCTCTTTCAGACCCTTCTGCAGAAAACACTAATACTGCACAAGATGTTTCTGAAGAAATTGTTTCTACAGGAAACTCTACTCTGCCAGGAGGAACCGGCCCTGGAAACACTACCCGTAGGAACGTGTCCACTGCACATTCTACTGTTGCTGCAGACAACAGTACGCCAACTGTTCAACACACCAACGAAACACAATGGGAGTACCACAACACGGGCACTGAATTATCGTCTAAGCCCACAGGCTTCACTTTCCCAGGGCTCACATCCCCAGGTGATCAAGTTGAAACTCAGCTAAACCAGCAGCTACGGTCCCTCATCCCCAACAATGACGTGCGAAGGCTCATTTCTCATGTTATCCAGACTTTAAAGATGAACTGCTCAGAAACCCACTTGCAGCTGGCCTGTGCCAACCTCATCTCTAGAACAGGCCTCCTGATGAAGCTTCTCAGCAAGCAGCAAGAAGTACATGTGTCCAAAGCGGAATGGTATACGGACGAGTGGAAAGCTGACAACTGTATCAGTGAGAGCACAGAAGCCCAGAGTGAGCAGAAAGGGCAGGAGTCAAGTGAGGTGAGGATAACCCCTGGCACATGGCACCTGGACTTTTACTCAGTTTAGGATGCGCCATTAACGTGCCCCAGCGGGAATACCACGGGTTCCTAGTCTGTATCTTATCTTCAGCCATGAAACGGGCTAAGGCAGTGATCTCCCACTTTGCTCATTTAGACAGTGTGCCGCTCTTGCTAGGGAAGACGAGAAAAGGCATAACACAAGATAAATAAGGTGTAGATAAATAAATTGTAGAAGAAAATGCTAATGATAAGATTAACAACATTAAATTTGGCTTGTTCTTATACAAGCTACTCGCCTGAAAGGATTGGGTTTTATAGTAGTTTAAGAATAGTTAGCTATCGTTTAGAATAGCTTTAAGAATAGTAAGTTTTCATCCCTTCTATCTCCTTGTTTTTAAAAAGTTGTTATTTATATTTTTAGCTCACAAAAGAAGTTCCAGGATATGGCTATAACAACAAACTCGTCTTGGTAATATCCGTAACTGGAGTAGTGACGATTTCGATTGCAATTCTCTGTCTCATTGAGGTAAGGAAAATAAATAATTCAGATTCAGAACCCACAGACTGAGAATCAAATCCGCCTTTCCACCTACTACTACTTGATTCCTCTCTTTAGTCATAAGGACTGACATACACTTTGTTCTTTTACTGAAAAGTTGTTTGTTTTTTTTTTTTTTTTTTGGCTGCGTTGGGGCTTCATTGCGGTGCACGGGCTTCTCACTGAGGTGGCTTCTCTTGTTGTGGAGTACGGGCCTTTGTCACCTCATGACGTAAAAATCATCTCTAGGGCTTCACTGGTGGCGAACTGGTTGAGAGTCCGCCTGCTGATGCAGGGGACACGGGTTCGTGCCCCGAGGATCCCACATGCCGAGGAGCGGCTGGGCCCGTGAGCCATGGCCCCTGAGCCTGCGCGTCCGGAGCCTGTGCTCTGCAACAGGAGAGGCCACAACAGTGAGAGGCCCGCGTACCAAGAAGAAAAAAAAAAAAAAATCATCTCTAATATTTGCTTCAAGTACTTTTATAATCTGTCTAGCATTTGTGGTATTTGTTTTTTAGTGTGGTTGAGGTAGGGGATGTAACTTTTTCCCCCCTACAGGAAGATCTAATTCTCTTCAAATCTTTCACTGAATGGTTTATTCTTTCTTCCCTGGTCTAATATACTCTCTTCATCTGGACTCTGTTCTGTGATCCAGTTATCTTGTCCTGTACCAGTACCAATATCACACTGCTTAATTCCGTTTCCTCTATAACATATTTTATATCTGGTAGGACAAGGTCCTACTCTTTGACCTTCTTTTGCATACATTTCATAACTATTCTTACATATATTCTCTCCCAAATGTCAGCTGGCCAGGTTTTATTTAAAAATTATTTTGGCTATAAGTGGATTGCATTGAATTTGTAGTTTCATTTGAGGAGAACTGACCTCTTTACAACATTCTAGGAGGGTGGTGTCTCATGCCATGTAAGTACTTCTTCGTCATGTCCTTCTGAAAAGTTTTAATATTTTCATCACTAGGTCTTACATATTTGTGGTTAAGTTTATTCCTAGGTACTTTATGCATTGTTATTGGTATAGTAAATGGGATGTTTCTTTTGTCTTTTAGTTAGTTATTTGTGTTATATTGGGAAAGCTATTGAGGCTTATATGTTGATCTCTTGATTTTGCATGGAGCCGTCTTACTCATGTTACTTCCAATAAAACTTTCTGTTGATTCTTTTGGTCTTTTTAGGTCCCTTGTTTCATATGCAAATATGTTTGTCTCTTGCTTTCCAATACTTTGTTTCCAATACTTCGTTTTTCTTATCGTACTGATTAAGACCTCCTCCACAATGATCAATAGTAGCAGTAATTATTGGGCATCCTACTCTTGTTCTTGACTTTAAAACAATGCTTAGGTTTCTGCCAGATACTTTTATTTTCTTTTCCTACTTCTAAGAGTTTTTATTAGGAATTATCTGTTGAATGTTATCTAAAACAGTCAATAAAATATATCGCCAGCTGCATGCAAGACCCTAAGTTAGGTACTGTGGAAGAGTCGAAGGATTTTTCAACAGGGTAGAATTCCTTTCCTTAAAAGAGTTATCATCTCACTGGGTAGATAAGATTTAAAGTAAAAAGGAGTGAATAAGGATCTGGAAATAGTTGTAATGGCTAATCATAATCATGTTTTCTTTCAAAACAGATTTATTCTCATAGAATTGTAAATGAGGAGGATAAAAAAAGAAGCAGAAGGTAAATATTGGTCTCTGAAAGCAGAATTTTACAACTAGAGGAGAACTTAGAACTCATCTATTTCCACTTCCTCACCAAAGGCAGGAAGAATGTTTAATTACCCTAATGGTTTACCCTAATTTATTTATCAGCAGAATTAGCTCCCCACCCCAAGCTGAGTTAAAACAGGACTGGCACAGATTTATCTGCTTTCACTAGTGCTTTAAGGGAAGAGGGTGGACGGGGAGAGGATTTGTCTGTACCTGTTCCAGCTGGCCTGACGCCTGGTTCCTAGGCATCAGGCCAGGCCAGAGGCCTTCTAGGAGGCTCTGGGGTTGGGAGAGCCACATGGTTGGGGATTTAGGGGCTGGCCTCACTCCAAGCTGACGGAAGGTAGAACATATGAGTCCCTTCTGTAAAGTGGCAAGAAAACTTCCCTTCTCATCCTACTGTTTTTCAGGCCCCTACTCTCTATTCCATTTATCCAAACCTCGTAGAATTTTAACCGGGAGAAACTTTAGACAGTAGTTTGTCTCTTCCTTTTATAATAAGGAACTGGAGAGAGAGAAAGGGAAAATGTCTTGCCCCATGGTCATACTGCTAGTGATTATCAGAGCGTCCCTTTGCACTGAGGCCTTCTCTACTGATCGCACTGTGCTTGGGCTGTGAGCTACGTTTTATGTCACAATTGAGTAGACACATCCTATATGGACATAAGTGGTTTCTGAAACACACTTATTGTGCACTCTGATTTTTTTTTCTATTCTATTTGTATTCAAAAAGAGTATTTTGTGCTTCCCTGCTGGTCATGGCCTTTAAAATGATTCCACAATTCACTGACACCTCAGTGACAGCCTGCAGTGTGAAAGTCAGAGAGCTATAGATAACTTTGCTCGTTGGGTTCAGGTGTTTACTTGGTGTGATTCAACTTATAGGATAGAGCAGCCAGGAAAATAAAAGCACCTCTCCCCACACCCACACCCCCAGCAAATGCTGCATGTGCAACTAAGTCCGAAGCGGACTGGTGTGAAGCGCGTCTAGAGAGTAACGTGTTTCTGCCCAGCGCCGTTGTGCAGTGTTTTCACCGCACGAGGGCACTTGGCCAAGGGTCAGGAGAGGTGAACGGGGCTGAAAATCCTGCCTATACTCCATGCTGAGCCACATGCAATGGTCTCCCCGGCGACACTGGGGGTCCATTTTGTACAGACACAGAGAACTTCTGGAAGGCCAGCATGCATGGGATGAATTTCAAGATGCCGGGTCTGTGTTGATTTTGCTCATTGTGATTATGGACTGAGGTACCCGTTTAGTCCTAATAAGACCAGAGATAACACATTGTGCGAGAGATGAAAAATGACACGTAACACTAACTGTGTGTGTTTTCCTCCAAGGGGCTTTTTTCGATTTCTGCGGCGTAAGAGAAGCTCAGGGGAAAGTGAGAGTCAGGTAAATTTGAGGAGGGTAAAGTACTGTGGCCAGAGAAAGCAGGGGAGATGCAGAATTAATATTTCCCTTTCTGTGTTCTAGGAGGGCGTTTTCGGGCCAAGGTGGCCACTTTATGATACGGACCTGCCGTAGAAAGAGGATTTCACGGCCCAGGGTGAGAAGGGAAGGGGTGAGGCACTGAAATAGCACCGACGAATGGGGTCAGAAGGACCAAGACAACTGACGGTTGCAAAAGGCAAATTTTATTATGCTACAGTTGCAGATTATATAGACTAGAAAAAGGGAGGTTGGTTGCCAGGTGGTGGTTTACATCATCTAGAGACTGTCTCGGCTTCAAGGTTAACTTCCCTGGGAGGAAACCCATAAGCCCAGAATCATCCAAAATAACCTGCGCGTGCAGGGGGGAGACAGCTTTGCTTGTCTCATTTTACATTCTTTCTGATCTCTGGGCCCTGGTGGTTTATCTCCCATGGAATGAAACAAGGAGGGGAACAAGTAGGCACAGTGCCTTTGAGCAGCGTTGGCATGCCTGGCATGTCCGCAGCTTGCTCTCAAGGCTGACCGTTTCCCACAGGTCCCCCTTTTTTATTTTTTAATATTTGTTGCAAAATAATTCCATGAAGCTTAGTGCCGAGAGTAGTATATTGTTGCATGAGGATACAAAACAGACATGAGAAGATTATTATCAATAATAGGCGAGTTATGGCCAGGGTAATAAATCCTGACAACCCTCCAGTAATCCAAGACTGAGGGTTTAACCACTTTAAATGATGCAGTAAAGTTTGAATTACATCTTCTGGCGAAATATCATCAAGATGTGCATTTTGCATATCCTGAATTTCAGCATTGAACTTCTTAAGATCAAGACTAATATTATTATCTGACCAAACACTCAGCAGATGCATTTTTACTTTTTCCCATTCCCAAACAGAGTCATGATACTTATAAGGAGTAACACAAATCCATGTATACTTTGCATGACAAGCTAAACGCATCCTCAATTTTAATGCTGCCATCTGATCTCCTCTCCTTCTTCTTTTTCTGAATCAACAGTGTCAAATTTTCGTGAGGGATGCAGAGCTTCAGGTTCTGAACTTGTTGTGAGCTGTGGCGAGCCATCTATTTGCTAGCCATCAACCTCTCCCCTGCAGAAAGGCCACATTTATCAACAGTGCGAAAATTTTAAATAAACAAAGCATGATTTATAAGGTTATGTGGTGTTGTTCTGTACAATTCCCCCTTTTTTATTTTTTCAATAGTTAGCTTTAGAGATCTATTTGCACGTTCTATAATACCTTGTCCTTGAGGGTTACATGGAATGCCTGTAATATGGGTAATTTGTAATGAATTATAAAATGTTGCAAAAGCAGCACTAGTGTAAGCGGGCCCATTATCTGTTTTAATAATTTTAGGAATATTCATAAATGCAAAACAACGTAATAAATGAGGAATGACATGTTTGGTAGCCTCTCCGGTCTGTGCTGTAGCACAGAGGAAACCAGAATAGGTATCAATAGTGACATGAACAAACTGTAATTTCCGAAAGAGGGGATGTGAGTAACATCCATTTGCCATAAATGACTAGGTAATAATCCACGAGGATTAACACCATAATGTGGAACAGGAAGGTGAGGTAAGCATTGTGGGCATCGCTTAACAATTTGTCGGGCGGCTTCTCGAGTGAGGGAAAATTGTTTGCGCAAGGTGGTAGCTGATTGATGATGTAAAGCATGGGAGTGTTGTGCTGCTTGTAAAGGAGTTTGATCATAACTCACCATAACGCAAGGGCGTCCTGGATATAAACCATGTTTATTTACAGTACGCAAGTAGCGAATGCAATACATTAGCCATTCTTGATAGCATGACGAACGGAAAGGAGGAGTACGGTAAATTGGGATATGTCTTGC